CATGGGACATCTCTCTCTTTGTGTGTACCTACTTGTGCGTCCCAGGGCCCCTTCACTCTTGTCCTGCGCGCTGCCGAGCGCTCAGATCTGGAGGCTCTCTGTCGCGTCTGACGTTCGCCGGGCGCGGCGCTCCTCCCGGCGAGGGGGGGGGGACAGGAGGAGGAGGAGGACAGGCACGCCGGAGGAGGGGCGCGAGGAGGAGAGGAGAAGGCGGATCCTACGGGGCGCGAAAACGACCACAGCCACTGCTTTTCTTTTGCTGCCGCCTTCCAGCCCGCAGAAACGAAGCAGTGGTTGTGGTCATTTTCGTTGAGCTGGGCACCAGGGAAATGACCACGACCACTGCTTCTTTTTCGGCCGGCTGGAAGGCGGCGCAAACAAGAAGCAGTAGCTGTGGTCATTCTCCCGTCCCGCTGAGGAGGAGAAGAGAAGGCGGAGGAGGATTTTGGGAGCCCTTGCCGACGGAAAGCTTCCCCTGGGCCTTCAGGCACGGCCTGACAACTGGTGCGACTGGTGTTGCGTTTTGTCCGTAAGGGCTTCGCCCCCTGCCGCCCGCCCCCTCGTCTCGGAGAATGGCCAATGCCAATGCAAGAGCGAAATCATGAGGCCTTGGCGCCGCCGTGAAGCAGCGTCGGGACTTCACGCGAAGACGATGAGTAATCGGCAAGACACATTGAGATTCGGATGATATGTTTGAATTCGGTGTTGTATTTCTAACTTGCTCGCGTATGCTGTGCAAAAAGCTCTTCTACGAAGTATTGAAATGTTGCAAATCCCATATGTTTTTGACCCTGACCCCACCGATCTGCGTGAGGGCTGCCACCGAATTTCAAGACATGTGGCAAATCCCATGTGTTTTTCGACCCTGACCCTGCCGGTCTGCATCAGAAGTGCCACGGAATTCCAGAAATGTGGCAAATCCCATGCGTTTTTGGAACTTGACCCCACCGATCTGCGTGAGGGGGGCCACCGAACTTCAAGACATGTGGCAAATCCCATGCCTTCTTCGACCCTGACCCCGCCGATCTGCAGGAGGTGTGTCACCGAATTTCAGAAATGTGGCAAATTCCTGATGTTTTTGGACCCTGACCCCGCCGATTTGCGTGAGGGGTGCCACCGGATTTCAGAGATATGGCAAATCCCATGGGTAGGGGCTTGGAGGAGATCCATGAAAGATAGGGGGGTTCCCCAATTACGCCCTCCCCTTGCGAGCCTCCACAATCGCGTCTTCAAACCCTCTGGGGGCGCTCTTGGAGCGCTCTTAGGTGCTCGTGGGCCCGCCTTGGGGCTCTCTTGGGCCTATCTGGGGGCCCTCCTTGGGGCCATCTTGGAACCACCTTGAGGCTTTGGATGGCCACAGGATGGGAAAGTATGAGAACTGTAGCGGAGATATTATAGAATTCGTGCAGATGTGGTTTTTCGGGCCACGACTCTGGCGTAATTTCGTAAGGTGTATGGCTTCGGAGACGCGAATATAACGTATGTTACGAGGGTTGGTGGCCTCGGGGGCACGAACATTGCAGAATTATCATTTTGTTTATGGCTTCGGAGACGCGAAGCTTCCGTGAACTACAAGGGTTTATGGTTTCTTGGCAGACATTGTAGCGTAAGTTAGAAGGGTTGATGGCTTCGGGGACGCGATCCTAGTGAAATTTTAACGTAGCCTAGAAGGGATTATGGCTCCGGCGACAAGAATATGGTATACTTCAAGGGGGGTGTATGGCTTCGGAGACGCGAACCTTCTGTGAATTACGAGGGTGTATGGTTTCTTGGCCGAACTTGCAGCGTCATTCACAACAGGTTTATATTTTCGGGGACGCGACTATAGTGCAATCTTCATGTCATTTACAAGGGTTGATGGCTTCGGGGACGCGGGTATAGCACAATGTACGAGGGACTGTGGCTCCGGATACGCGAATCGTGTGTAATTTACGAGGGTGTATGATTTCGGGGCCGCAAGTGCCGCGGAATTTGCGACGGTTTATGGCTTCGGAAACGCGAATATTGCATAATTTCCGGCACGCGATTCTTGCGTGTTTTACGAAGGTGCATGGTTTCGCGGTCCCATCATTTACATCATTTACATAGGTTTATGGCTTCGGAAACGCGAATACTGCGTATTGTATACTGGTTTATGGTTTCGGATACGCAAATATACGGTAATGTGCAAGGGTCTATGGCTTCGGGGACGCGAGTCTTGATTGGTTCTCCATTGTTTTGCGCATCGGGAACGCAAATTTTGCATACTGTACAAGGGCTGATGGCTTCGGAGACGCGAATATAGCGTCATTTAAGAGGGTGCATGGCTTCGGGGACGCGCAGATCGCATGATTTACACGCGATTGTAGGTTCGGGGACGCAAGTATTGCGTAATTTTCAAAGGTTGATGGCTTCGGGGATACGGTTATAGTGTTTCTTTGCTCAAGGGTTTACGGTTTCGGGGAGGCGAATACGGTGTAATTCGCAAAGGTTTATGGTTTCGGGGACGCGAGCATTGTGTAATTTACGGGGGTGTATGGCCTCGAGGACGCGACATTCATGTATTTTTAGATGTTCCACCCCCAGGAATTCTAGACGCTTCGCGGAACCGCACCAGCCCATCCAGAAACGATGCCCAGAGGAATTGTTTCGATCAGGAAAGTGGGCAGCACACAGAGGAAGGGTCCCCCAGTGGAGGCCTATTGGAGCGTCTTGGGTGCCTCGGAGAGCTTCTTGGGGCCTTTTGGGAGCATCTTGGAGGCCTCTTGGGCGCATGTTGGGGTCTCCTGGGCGCCTCTTGGGGCCCTCTTGAAGCGCTCTTGGAAGCCTTGGGAGCGCTCTTGGGGCCATCTTGGAGGACATCGATCAAACAAGAAGCGAGCATTAGTTAGCGTTGCCCCTCGGGCGCCCAACAAATCGCTTCTTGGGGCGATCTTGGGGCGCTCTTTAAGCGCTCTTAGGCGCTCTTGGGGCCGTCTTGGGGCTCTCTTGGAGCCCTCTTGGGCCATCTTGGAGCCATCTTGAGGCCTCGGATGGCCATCGGAAGCGAAAAGGCGAGAAAGCCACACACAAAGGTTTTGGCCTCTTCCGGGCCTCCTGGGGGAGCTCTTTGGCCACTTGGAGCCGTCTTGGAGCGATCTTGGGGCATTTTGGAGCATCGTGGGAGCCATTATGATTCATCTTGGGATATCTAAAGCCATCTTGGAAGTCATCTTGGGCTCTCCCAGGCGCTCTTGGAGTCATCTTAATCAGTGCCCCCCCAAAGAGGCCAACATGTGGCTAAAACCATAGTGCAATCAATGATTTGGCATTCTCGCCGAGGCCTCTTGGAGCATCTTGGGTGCCTCTGGGGGGTCTCTTGGGGCCGCTTGGGGGTCTCTTGGGAGCTTCTTGAGGGCATCCTGGGGGCCTCTTGGGGCTTCCTGGCCACCTCTTGGGGCCCTCTTGGGGCACCCGTGGGAGCCTTGGGGGCCATCTTTGGGCCATCTTGGGTGAGATCGATCACAGGAGGGGGGGCACTAAGTAGGGCCCCCCCCCCCGGGAGACCAAAGTGGGGTCAAAACCTTGGTAAAACCAATGATTTTGGCTTCCTCGCCGAGGCCGTTTTGGACTTGTCCAGGTCCAGGGGAGGGTGTACGGATCAAGACGCCCTCCCCGCCCGCAAGCCGATTCGCTCACTCCCACCCGCCCTCCCAAGACTTACGTAGCACCCGAGCCTGGCCCGAGCCGCAGCATATGCATCAGTCGTCTTTTGGATGGGCAGCTACTGGGGGCCGCCGTCCGCCGCCGCCGCCGCCGCCGCTGTCCGCCGCCGCCGCCGCCACCGCGCTGCCCGCCACCGCCGCCGCCGCCGCCGCCGCCGCCCCCGCTGCCAAATCGCCGCAGCCGCTGCCGCCGCAGTCGCTGCCGCCACCGCCGCCGCCGCCACCGCCGCCGCCGCCGCCGCCCCCGCCGCCGCCGCCGCCCCCGCCGCCGCCACCGCCGCAGCCGCCGCAGCCGCTGCCCCTGCCGCAGCCGCCGCAGCCGCCGCCGCCAAGTGTACTCTGCCTTGTTTTTTTGAGACAGTTTGATAGGGATAATAGGGGGAGGCCGCATCGGGCTCGCTGCGCATGCTCCGGATTTGGAGACAGAGTGTGTTTTGTATGGTTTGTTACAAGGGATGGTGGGGGCAGAGTGTGTTTCGTATTGTTTTTTACGAGGGATGGTGGGGGGGTGCCCGCATGGACCTGGGTTGGCTCCCAGTCGCCTAGGGGAGGGGGTGTATTTTAATAGGGAACAGTGATAAACCCTTCCCCGAAGGGGAAGAAGGATGGGTGGAAGAAGAATCTCCCTAAACCACCTACGCACAGAGGGCTGGTGGGATTCAGAGCACGCGACTCTGGCGTGGTAATCCGGACGCTTTTCGGCTCCCTCCCCTCACGCGTTCAGTAACAAAAAGCAGTCCGTAGAAAGCAGAAAGTGGAACTATCACATTGGAAACTGGCACCTGCAACTGGCGCAGGGAGCAGCAAACCTTTGCCCCACAGCCTTGTGGCCCCACAAGTGGACCGGCGGCTTCCGTTGCGCCTGATCCTGGGAGCCCACGCTGCGGACCCGAGAGAGACGACGAGGAGGACGAGGGACCCAGGGGGACAGACTCGACGAGCCCCTCGTCTTACCAGCCTGGGACATATCCCTATCCCTGTGCTGGGCCTCGCCTCATGACGATGCCAATCTTAGGGTCTCTCCCAGTTTTTTGAGGGCATACCCCTGAGATTGGCATCGCCTGTTGGCGTGTCGATCTTCGGGATAGGAATCAGTTCGAGGCCGGTAACCTAAGAACTCCCAAGATGGAGGTTCCGGCGTCTGCCATGTGCGGCGGGTCCTCCTCCACTCGGGCAGAAGATCCTCTCCCCCGCTGGTGGAGGCCTTCGGCGGCCCCGCGCCCGCAGAAGGGGGGTCGTGCTCCCAATCCCTCCTCCTCCGACTACGCGTAAGAGTGATCATTCGCCGGAGTGACCTTTGGAGTGATCCTCGGCCAGGCCGGGCTGATTCGCGGCTTCGACCCGGCCATGATCATGGTGCTCGGCCTGCCGTACAACATGCCGGCGCACTCGCTCCAGCGCTCACAGTGCCCCAGCACCGCTGTTCGAAGGTCGTGCCTCGATGATACTCAGGAGGGGAAAAAACACACAGACACAATTGATCGACGATCCCCAGGAAAATATGGGAAAATATGGAAAGGGGGGGGGGAAGACAGAAACCCAGAAAATATATGGAAATATGGGGAATCCTGACATTTGTGTCTGTTTATTTTTGTGTCCTGGCGCCCCTTCAGATACGCGTGCTTCGGTCGTTTCGTTTTTTTATGTTGCTTGTCGAACGCCCCTGGGGCTCCAGGGCAGGCCAAGGGAATCGTCGGGCCTCCGAGGCTCGCCAAAAAGCGAGAGGCCCTCGAGGACACGTGTCCTGAGGTTTGTTTCCAGCCTTCGAGCTCTGGCAGGGGCGCTTCCAGGTCCGGGGGACTGTCAAAAAGCAGCTCAGGCATCCCTGGGGTCTCCCTGGGCAGAGCAGAGGGAGATGGGAAGACCGAGATGGGTCAAACGCAGAGGCTGGGCTCAGCCCCTCTGTCCTGACCTCCGTTGGAGCCCTCGAGCGCCTCACTCATCAGGGGGGGGAAAAATAAAACGCTGACACAATGAATCGTCGATTCCCCAGAAAATATGGGCAAAGATGGGAAGTGGGGGAAGACAAAAGCCCAGCACAAATATTGGAAACTGTGGAGAATCCTTTGATTTGTGCCGTTTCTTTGTGCGCCCCGGGGCCCCGTCAACTCAGGACACCTCGTGGCAGGGACGAGAGGCGCCCGCCCCCCCAGACGTCAGTTCTTGGGGGCACGAGGAGTGATATCATCCCAGTGCGACCCTACCTAGGAGTTGGAGGATCTAGGAAAGCAACATCTAGATGAAGCTAAGCCAGGCTAAGATGAAGCTAAGCGAAGATGAAATAAGCTAAGCTAAGATGAGATAAGCTAAGATGAAGTTAAGCTAAGATGAAATAAGCCAAGCTGAGATGAGATGAGCAACGCTAAGCCAAGGGAACGTCACTGGGGGAACCGCGGAGCGGATGCTGGGGGAACCGCCCGGGGCGAGTTGCACTGCCCGGCCCTTTAAGCATACCGAGTTAGAACCTTTCTAGGCAGAGCCTAGGTAGGGAATAAACAGAAAGACTCGGACGTCCGCGCGGATTCCTCGGATCCGCGCTGGACCCCCCTGGCGGCGCCTCCGGCGCCGCCAGGCATGGGGGTCAGCGCGGATCCAAGAAATCCGCCGCGCGGGCCTCCGAGATTGTATGTTTATGTCATTCTTCGTTCCCTAAGAACTCCCAAGATTCAGGAGGGGAAAAACACACACAGACACACTTAATCGTCGATATGAGATCGAAGTTTCACTTATGGAACATAGGGGCCTCGTTCCTTGTTTAGGGATCCTTAGGTCAACGCCCCGACTGTACGCGTAAGAGTGATCCTTCGCCGCAGTGACCTCTGGTGCGGGCTCATCGGGCTCCCCCCGATCGCTGAGCGCGATGCGATCTAGCGGCCGCCTGCGCGCTCGGATGTGGCCACCTTTGCGCCCCCCGTTGTCCGCGCACCGAATGTCGCTCCTGCCTGGGGTCACTCCTGCGTGCAGGTCCGATTCCTCTCCCCGCCTCGTTTTCGCGGGCGTCCCCTGGTCCCCTAAGAAGGCCCCGGAGGGCCCGGAGGGTCCTCGGAGACCCCAGCCATCCCCCCAGAGCCCAAGGAGAGGATCGCGCGGAATCGTAGACCCCCCCCCCCCTCCTCCACGGCATCGGGGCCGGAAGCGACCTCAGATGCCCTGGCGCCCGGCCAGATGATTACCAGCCTCGAACGTATCCTTATCCCTAAGACTGACACGCCAAAAGGCGATGACAATCGTAGGGATTCGCCCTCAAAAAGTAAGGGAATCCCTAAGATTGGCATCTTGATGGGGAGGTGCCCAGCATAGGGATAGGGATATGTTCCAGGCTGGTAAGGTGAGGAAGCAGAGCTCGGCCGCGCGCAGAGGGCGCCAGGGGGCGGGGGGGAAGGCTTCCTGGGGGCAACCCTGCTCCTCGGAAGGCTTGGGCCCCGTCCACAGACGGAGGGCCGGGCGCCTTCTGAGAAGCAGCCTCGTGCTACGAAGCCTTCCCCCCTCCCCGTACAGTGAGCGGCTTGAATAAGGAACACTTGCTCTTCAAAAGGGGCTCGGTCGTTCCTGAGGCTTGCACGCGTTTGCTTATCCTCCCTCATGCGGTATTGAATTTTTGTCGTTCCTTCTGAGTTGTTCTTTTGAGCAAAAAGGAGCTTCGTTCCTCATTTATCGTTCCTTGGGTCAGGCCGAGGACTGTATAACCGCCCGACTGTGCGCGCCGCCTGACGGACTGAGGCCCCGCGAGGGCAGGTCAGGGTCACGCGCGCCCCTTCTTTTTCACGCGTGCGCGCGGCCCCCGCCTGTCGCCGCCTTCGTGGAGCTGGGCGCTGCTACAGAGACTGCACGCCACAGGGGAGAAGGTCGGGATGCAGACGAGAAGATCGGGAGGAGGAGGAGGAGGAGGAGGAGGAGGAGGAGGCACGACGCAACAAGCTCGCTCTTCATGTATGGCCAAGGTCAACAATGAGGCAGAGGAGGCAATTGCGCCCTCGAGGGCGCGAAGTTACTCGCGCTTCGCGGTTCGGCTCCGGTTCCTCTTCATTCTTCCCTCCTCCACGGGGGGGGGGGGGGGGGGGGCGAAAGCGCGAAGTTACTCGCGCAGCGCCAAGCGCGAAGTTGGGCGCCCTGCAGGAGGAGGAGGAGGAGGAGGAGGAGGAGGAGGAGGAGGAGGAGGGTCACCCCGTCGTGATGTGCGAAGCCTGCTGGCACGGCGCCAGGATGCTTGAGCACCTAGTCCCAGGTTTCATGCCTCGGCCCCGGAAGGCAGCCTCGGTCAGCACCAGGTCGTCAGTTGTTGCCTAACATGTTTGGCGTGTGTTCGCCCTTGTCGTCTTGCACTCATGGATGCCCCCGATCTGCAGTGCCTCGAGGACGAGGCGGGCCCCAGAAGGCCTCGGTCACTGCGACGGACCGGCCCGCAGCGTCGAGCATCGATGCCTGTCCCGTCAGAGACAGCAAATGAGAGAGAGAGAGGGAGAAAGGAGGAGGAGGAATAGGGGAATAAAAAGTGACATAAACGTAAAAACTCTGAGATCCGCGCGGATTTCTCGGATCGGCGCTGGGGGGCGCCGCCCCTGGCGCTCTCCGCGCGCCAGGGAGGGGGGTCCAGCGCCGATGCGAGAAGTCCGCGCGGACCTCCGAGTTTTTATGTCCGTGTGACTTCTTGTTCCCCTGAGGACGAGGACGGCTCGAAGACTGGAGGAGGAGGAGGAGGAGGAGGAGGAGGAGGAGGAGGAAGAGGACGGCTCGAAGAGAGAGGAGGAGGAGGAGGAGGAGGAGGAGGAGGAGGAGGAGGAGGAGGAGGAGGAGGAGGAGGAGGAGGAGGAGGAGGAGGAGGAGGAGGAGGAGGAGGAGGAGGAGGAGGAGGAGGAGGAGGAGGAGGAGGAGGAGGAGGAGGAGGGAAGGGGACGGCTCGAAGAGTTGGAGTCCCTGGCCACGCTCCGCCCTCTTCCCGGGTTGCGCGGTGGCCGCGCGCGGCGATGCGCGTGCCGCCCCGCACGCCCGGAGCCAGCGCGTGGCGGCTGGGAGTCCGCGCGGGGGCAGGCGTAGGGGAGTGGGGAGGAGGGAGCAGCCAGAGGTGTATGCCAAGCAACGCATACATTCTGCTGGACGCCCGAAATCGGACGCCCGACGCATAAGACACGCCAAAACGCTGAGAGATTATTGCCTCGCACAGGGTCGCGCTAAATTCTGTGCCAATAGCAGTTCCTGTTCATTTTGGGCAGGATTCGCTGTCCACGCCGCCGCGGCCTGTGTCCGTTCGAGATAGAGGGCCGCCCGCCCAACAGCGGCCGCTGCTGGTTTGGGACAACATTTGCTGTTGGGCATTGTACCCACTTTTTCCGTACCCATTTCGGGCGTCCAAAATTCTCACACGTTGATGTTATTCTTTGGAGATCAGCGCGGACATCTTCGATCTGCGTCTGGGAGCCCGTCGGCGCATAGCCGCCGCCAATGGCGCGTTCCGTCGAACGCCGATGCAGGAAGTCCGCACGGACCTCCGACAGCTTATGTCTTTGTGTGTGTGTGTGTGTTCGTGTGTGTGTGTGTTCGTGTGTGTGTGTGTGCGTGTCTGCGTGCCTGCGTGCCTGCGTGTGTGTGTGTGCCTGTGTGCCTGTGTGCCTGTGTGCCTGTGTGCCTGTGTGCCTGTGTGCCTGTGTGCCTGTGTGCCTGTGTGCCTGTGTGCCTGTGTGCCTGTGTGCTTGTGTGCCTGTGTGCCTGTGTGCGTGTGTGCGCGTGTGCGCGTGTGCGCGTGTGCGCGTGTGCGCGTGTGCGTGTGTGCGTGTGTGCGTGTGTGCGTGTGTGCGTGTGTGAGTGTGTGCGTGTGTGCGTGTGTGCCTGTGTGCCTGTGTGCCTGTGTGCCTGTGTGCCTGTGTGCCTGTGTGCGCGTGTGCCTGTGTGCCTGTGTGCGCGTGTGCGTGCGTGCGTGTGCGTGCGTGTGCGTGCGTGTGCGCGTGTGCGCGTGTGCGCGTGTGCGTGTGTGCGTGTGCGTGTGCGTGTGCGTGTGCGTGTGTGTGTGTGTGTGTGTGTGTGTGTGTGCGTGTGTGTGTGTGCGAGTGAGTGAGTGTGTGTATATATATATACGTACGTGAGTGTCGTTTTTTCGTCTTCCAGGTACGTGAACGGACTTATGGAGCTTCCCACGGAGATCCGCCAGCCGCTCTTCGAACACACCGCCGAGTTGGTCGCGAGCCACTACCGCCCAGGTGGCGGTATGGGCCCTCCGCGGCCGCGTCGCCCTCGTCGTCGTCGGGGACCCTTTGGGGCTTTTTGCAGGCGCTTCTGGCCGCCTCTGGAGGTCGTCGCCCCTCGTCCTCGGCGTCGTCTCCCTCCTGGGGCTCTCTGGGCGACGTTTTTCTGGCCCTGCTGGGCCTCTAGGCGTCGTCGTGCCTCGCCCTCGTGGTCGTATTAACTCCTCCTCCCTCCTCCTCCTCCTCCTCCTCCTCCTCCTCCTCCTCCTACTCCTACTCCTACTCCTACTCCTACTCCTACTCCTACTCCTACTACTCCTCCTACTCCTCCTCCTCCTCCTCCTCCCTCCTCCTCCTCCTCATCCTCCTCCTCCTCCTCCTCCTCCTCATCCTCCTCCTCCAGCTTTCGCGGGGGGCCTCCTCCTCCGCTTGCTCCCGCTCCTCCTCCAGCTTTCGTGGGGGGGGGGCACCTCGTCTCTGCGGCCAGATCCGCCTCGGCATCCTGGCCGGACTGCGCTCCAATAGAGGTCCGGCGGTCGACTCTCGAGGCCCGGAGCGGAGGCGCAGCCGTCGGGGCGGGCGGGTGGAGCGCGCCACTTTCTGGTGACCGCACTCGGGCACCCTGCTGGGCGATGCCTGGGCCCCCAGGAGTTGAGCAGGGACCGACCGTCCCGGCATTCCTACTAGGCCTACCACGGAATGTTCTTAGAACCCAGAAATGTTCCCAGAGCAAAGACACTGTTTTTAACCGTTTTTTTTTGTTTTGGTCCCCTCTCCCCTTTTCTCTCGGCCGTGAATAGGACTGGTCCTAAAACCTCGTCCTCCTCCTCCTCATCCTCCTCCTCCTCCTCCTCCTCCTCCTCCTCCTCATCATCATCATCATCATCAAAGGCTGCCGCGCGCTCAGGCCTTGCAGGAACAGCGGCCTCCAGCTACGCCTTTCCCTCCACACGCGGAGGCGGAGGGCTCTGCCATGGCGGCGTCCACGCGGGGCTGAAGCGCTGGGTTGTGCTCCAGATCGATGCCGCGCCCGACGTGCTGTGGCGCCCCCCCGGCTGGGGAGAGGCGCTCGCGCGCCCAAGCGCACCGGCAACGCGTACGGCTTCGACACGTCCGTCACGGCGCTGCACTGGGTCTCCCACCCGGCCTGGAGATCCCGAGCGAGCTCAACATCAACCAGCCGCTGCGGACGCGCAAGCCCGAGGACTTTACCAACGAAGAGTACGCCGACAGGATCGTGGAGGCGCACGTGGACAGCACGAGCAACGGCCACGACGGCAACCATTCTCAGTCAGTACTACGTGAAGGTGGTTCGGGCGAAGGTGCTGATCCTCACTCACGTTTGGTGGACGAGGAGTCGGGTAATCGGCATGCTCATCACGTAGATGCAGATACCGAGGGTGAAGAGGACGCCACTCAACTACATGAAGGGGCGCAGGATCATCGACCTGGTGACGACCACCACATCCGTCCCAACGTCGTCTTCGACGCCTTCGACCAGGCCCTCGCCGCCGACACGACCGATCTAACCCGCACCACCGCCACCGAGGAGATCTGCTCGGCCGTGGAGCACGCGTACGACGACACCAACGGCAACCATCATCAGTCAGTACTACGTGAAGAAGGTGGCTCGGGAGGTGGTGCTGATCCTCACTCAAGTTTGGTGGACGAGGAGTTTGATAATCGGGATGCTGATCACGAAGATGCGGACACCGAGGGTGAAGAGGACGACACTCAACTACATGAAGGGGCGCAGGATAATCGACATGGCGACGATCCCAACTCTAGCCTGGTGGACGAGGAATCTGGTGATTGGACGTACGCCGAGGAGCGGACTCGCCACCACATCATTCCCAACGTCGTCCTCGACGCCTTCGACCAGGCCCTCGCCGCCGACATGCACGATCTAACCCGCACCACCCAGGAGATCATCAGCTCGGCCGTGGAGCACGCGTACGACGACACCAACACACATACTCTCTGGGATCAGTCGCTCTTGATGGCGATGAACGACATGGCTAAAGAGCACATTCGGATGCTGGACTGCTCTCGCTCGATTTCGAGGGCTCCAGGCTCGTCGCACGACCAGCTGACTCGGTCCACGACCACGGAGGACAACAGAGCCGCCGCAAACGAGGGATGTGAGCCCCTTGCATTTTTGCGCGACGCCGAACTCATTCAGATTATGGCATGCTGTAATAGGCACTTGGTTATCGGTGCTAGCGCTCTCGAGCTCAGGCTTTCCTCCGCCCCTCACGATCCTATCCCATAGCACGTCGGGCATCGCTGGCTCTCTGCGCCAGCACCCCGTTGCGCTCAGCCCCCGCGTGGGCACTCAGGAGAGAAAACAGCTCTCTGCGGCGGACCATATTCTCCGAACTCATGCCGGAGGCTCTTTTTTGTTGGTCCTGATGCCGAGGAAAAATCATCATCATCATCATCATCATCATCATCATCATCATCATCATCATCATCATCATCATCATCATCATCATCCCCCCTCCTCCCTCCTCCCTACTCCCTCCCTCCGTCCCTCCTCCTCCTCCTCCTCCTCCTCCTCCTCCTCCTCCTCCTCCTCCTTGCTGCTGCGCGGTGGGCGGAGGCCCCCATGGGCCGCGGGAGGCCCTGCGCGTGGCGTCTCCCGTCGGCTGGAAGGGTCCGAGGATGGACGCCACGCTTTCCTTGGCAGCGCTCGGACGTGTGCCTTTTGTCCCGGACGAGGATCCTCGAGGAGCCTTTTATAGTCCAAAAAGGCTCCTCGATGGCTCCCGCTGGGGTCGCGTGCGGGGCCGAGCTTGCCCGCCAGCATGGGCCCGGCCCACACTGCAAACAGTACTGACAGAGCACGCTTGCGAGGTGTAGGCTGGATTTGGCACCTCGATCAGGAGGGAACAAACACAGACACAATTAATCTTCGATTCCCCAGAAAATATAGGAAAATATGGGAATTGGGGGGAAGACAAAAACCCAGAAAATATACGAAACTATAGGGGATCTTTTTATTTGTGTGTACTTATTTGTGTGTGTCCTTGGGCCCCTTGACTCTAGCGCTTGGCTGGGTGCTCGCTTCTGCAGGCAGGAACAGAGCCGAGACCGCCGCAGCACCCAACTGTCGGATCCTCGTGGGCAAAAAAATGCGCGCACGGAGCCGAAACATGCACGGGGGATGGAGGTTCGAGCGACGGCAAGCAGGCGGAACGACACTCTTCCCTTGGTACCGCTCGGACGCGTGCATGTTTCTTGGACGAGGACCATCGAGCCATCGAGGAGCCTTTGGGACCGTCATGGAAAAAGTACACGCGCGGAGCCGAACGATGCACGGGGGATGGACCTCCGAACGACGGTAAGGAGGCGGAACGACACGTCTGTCGAGGGCAGGCCGCCAGGCCGCTCGAGGTGTCCAGGCCCCCCTTCGCTGCCACCTCGGAAATTGGCTCCTGGACAATTCCTGGGGCGTGCTCTTCTAGGCCTCCCAGATGCGGGCAAGATTCATGTCCATGTCCAGTGCCTCTTGGAGTTTTTTGGAAGCGGCGCCACAAGGCCGAGGCGCACTGGATATGGATAAAAATCGAGCCTCTAGGGGGCAACTTTATCCACATCCAGTGCGCCTCGGGTTTCTTGGGAAGGGAGCCCGAAACTCCATACTGTAGTGGGTATGGACAGAAGTATTGCCCGCACCAGATGGGGTCGGAGCATGTGGGGTCGGAGGATCGCGCCGCATCGCCGATGCATCGGCGGTGCGGCTCGATGTGGAGACCCACTCTCTTCACATCGGCGACGGCGTCAGTGCATCGGCGATGCGGCGCGCTCCTCCGCCCCTATGTACTCGGACCCCCTTCTGCGAGGCCTCTGGCTCCTACCCCGGAGATTGGCTCCTCGTCGGTAGTGGTGGTGGCGAGTCAGATCAGGGCTCTCGGTGCCGAGACTGGGTAGTCGAAGGCCAGACTGTCAGACTGGATTGGGCCCCAAGGGCCAATCTGGCCTGGCCATATTGGAGGATTTGGGTTATTCGCCAGACTGGATTCGCGTTGGCTCCCTCGCCAGATTGCCCCCGTTTGCCAGATTGGGCCTGCCAGATTGGGCCTGCCAGATTGGCGCCAGGTTGGCTTCGACTACCCTCCGAGAGGGCTCCCAGGAAGCCCCCGCCAGAGAGGTGGTGGAGGGGCGCCCCACGAGCATCTCGCCGTCGGCGCTCCGAGCGCCGCCGCTTCTCTCCCCCATTCCTGCCCCCTGCTCGATCTGACTCGATTCCGACTTCGGCCGCCCCGAATCCGCTTTTCCTCGGGGGAGAACAAACCTACCTCGCTTGTGACCACCCTCGCTTCCCAGAGAGACCAAACGATGCCAAATTGCGGCCTGCACTGGTCAGGCCGCTTGACGAGGAGGCGCGTGGTCTGGCTTGGTTTTGCATGGTTTTGCCTGGAAGCGAAAGCGGGGTAGGTAATTCACGCTCTGACTTCCGACGATCTGGTGCAGCACGGTGCGCGCACGGGCGCGGCCGTGCGCCGTGGCGCGGCCGATCCGATCCCGCTCCGACTCCGTGCCGGTGCGCGGCCTGGTCCGAGGCACCTCTCGAGTCGGTCCGGATTCCCGAGTCGATGCCGACTGGTCTCGGGGGCCCCCAAACGGGGTGGTGACCACACCGTCTGGTGAGTCGGTGGGGTTTCGGGGTCACCGCACGGTTTTGGGACACGGGTCGTTCTCCGAGGACGTCTCGGGCGACTGGGGCATCCGAGGTCCCAAAACCGTGCGTTGACGGACCGGGCGGTGAGATCTTGGGGGATCGCGAGTTCACCGCACGGCCTGTCACCGCACCGCTTCGGGACTCCAAATGGTCCTGCCCTCCCGCCCCTCCCCTCCCTCGGCCACGCGCAGAGGGGGGTGGGGGGAGGGGGGAAGGCTTCTTAGAAGCACCCCTGCTTCGTAGAAGGCGCGGGTCAGGCCGGCGCCTTCTACGAAGCAGCTTCCTTCTGAGGAGCCTTCCCCCCTCCCCCTGCCCCCCTGTGTGCGCGCCGCCCACTTCCGCCCCCCCGTCCAGGTGTCTTGGCATCGCTCGGACGAGTACATATTTTCCTCCGGCGAGGATCATCGAGAAGCATCCTTGATCATTTGGCGAAAAAAACCCGAACGAACCCCAAACAAAACAAACAGGACATGGGCGTCCGAGCGACGGCATCAGGTGTCGGCGTGGGCGGCAAGCTGGTGCCGTGGGCGCCGTACAACTTCCACGCGGGCAACTTCTACGACGCCAAGACGGGCTACTCGCCGCAGGACGGTGGCGCGCACGGGGGCCACGCCGCCTCTCCCGGCTCCCGCCGCGGGGGCGGGGCAGCGGTGGGGGGGGAGGATCATTCCCTACTACCCTCGTCAAAATTAACCTCAACAGTTGCTGGCACGTCATTTCGATTTCGGCGCGCCCCTCAATGTCGACACGCCGCCCCTTCAATGTCGGGGCGAGGGCAAAGATACTCTGACCGAAGTTGACTCGAAAGTTTGACGTCGACCGACATTGGAGGGGCGGCGCATGCAAGTCCCCCGCACTCATCGATACTCGGCCCCAGATCTTCCGACAAGCAGTTCAACCATGTCAGACATTTTTGAGGTTAATTTTGACGAGGGTTGTAGGGTGCCTCTCCCCCTACAGGGGGATTTTCGACGAAACATAAGAAGTAACCCAAAGATGATCAAAACAGATACTCCAAAATAGTCTGGGGACTATTTGTTGCGTATGTTGTTTACCTTTTGGAGGCATTTTTGGGGTATTTTTTTTATTTCTCGTCGAGAATCCCCCTGTAGGGGGACACGCCCGACTTAACCCTAGGGCTCCTCTAGGGATTCCCCGGGGAATTGCAGGGATTCCTTAGGGATTCCCTCAGGCTTCCCCCGGGATGCCAGAGGATGCCCTTGGTCTTCCCTGGGGATGATGTTCAAGGACTCCCTAGGTCTTGCCTGGGGATTCCTGAGGTCTCCCTCGGGCGTGGCGCCCACATCGCAGAACGGACTCCGCGCGGAAAAATATAGGATGGGCCCAGGGTTGTCCTGGAGAATCTCGTCCGGGACTTCGGGGTGGATTGCGTGCGGAGCTCTGTGTTTGGCCAGGGATGAAGACTAACAAAAAATCCACGCGCAGTTCACCTCGTTTTTCACTCGCCGCTTCAGGGTGTTGCAGGGGCAGACATCCGCGCACAAGTCCGCTGCGGCAATGTCTGCAAGCGTGGCGCGCCGAGAAGGGGGGCGGAGGAGGGGCGCGAAGACGAAGGCACGACGTGCGCAGATTATCGTCGAAGGTGCGCGCGCGCACCGCCGCGAGGCTTGTGCTCGCGTCGTGGCGTCCTGCTTCTCCGAGGGGAGGATCGCGTGCCCACTCCTGTGAAAGGGGACAAAAAGTGGCATAAACATAACAAGTCGGAGGTCCGCGCGGATTTCTCGGATCGGCGCTGGGGCCCCCCAGCGGCGCCTCCGGCGCCGCGCCTGGCGCTCTCCGCGCGCCAGTGCCTGCGATGGTGTCGCGGCAGGAGGGCGATCAAGCCAGCTTTAAGTCGGGCGTGTCCCTCGACAGGAGGGATGTTCAAAAATAGTAGAAAAAAGTCAGGGGACGACTTTTCGACTAATTTGGATGTTGCTTCTGCATTTCTGATTATTTTTAGGTTTCCATCCAAAGTCCGCCTGTGGGAGGACATGCCCGACCCAAAGCTATAGCTGGCACAAGGGAGCCGGCAGGCTCCGCCCACTCTCGCCGCAACGGTTGGCGGCACGCGCACGGGGGCTTGGCACCGCGTCGATCGTTCATCGGAAGAGGGGGGTGATGACTAGGGGGGGGTGGATATCATGGCGGGGGCCATGATATTTGCCCAGATCTTAGGGCGCCTCTTCTTGTTTCATTACGTCCCTGGCCCCCCCGCTGGGCCGCGCACATGCCGCAGGTCATGATTTGCACCCCCCCTCTTGGACACCCCCCTCTCGGCCGCTCCCGAGTTCAGCCTTGAATCGATCGCGGCCCTGAGCGTTCAAAGTTGAACTCGGTCGGGCGCAGTTGCCTTCGCCAGCGCCTCCCGCGCGCCGTCGCACGAGCCTCCGGGGGGAAAGGCTTCTTAGAAAGAGGCTGCCTCTCAGACAGCGCCCGCCCCACATCTGCAGACGAGGCCCGCGTCGTGTCAGACGCAGCCTCCTTCAAAGAAGCATGCCCCCTCCCCTCCCCCTGGCGCCTCTGTGCGCGCCGCCAAGCGAGAGGCAGCGGCGGCAAAGTTGGATGCCGGAGCTGGCGGGCGTTCCCACCGGTGCGATCGCCACGGGCCGGCAGTTCCCGTGACTTCAGCGAGGGAGCAGCATGGGCTGCGCACGGGCGGCATCGGATGCTTCAGGAGGAGGAGGAGGAGGAGGAGGAGGAGGAGGAGGAGGAGGAGGAGGAGGGATGAGAAGGAGGAAGGAGGAGGAGGAGGAGGCGAAGCAAGAGCAAGGGGAGCGGGAGTAGGAGGATGAGGAGCAGGAGGAGGGGAGGCGGAGGAGGAGGAGGAGGAGGAGGCTGAGGAGGCCGAGGAGGAGGCGGAGGAGGAAGCGCATGGAAGGAGGATGCGGAGGAGGAGGATGAGGAGGAGGAGGAGGAGGAGGGGGAGGAGGAGAGGGGGAGGAGGAGAGGAGGAGGAGGAGGAGGAGAAGGAAGAGGAGGAGGAGGAGGAGGAGGAGGAGGGGAAGGAGGGAGGCGTTTCGACGAGAGCGCGGTGCGGCACCCTCGCGCGCGGCCACGTTCCCGATGTGGGAGCGGCAGCATAGAGCAGGCCCCGCGCGGAGGCGTGGGCGCCGCTTTGGAGCGGGAGCTGCACGCCGCTCGGGCGAGAGGGGCCGTTCGCGCGCTCGCGCACGGCCCCGGGTATGCTTCCAACAGCCCGGCGGGCGACGTTTACGTCGGGCCCGTCCCTCCACAGAAGGAAGATCAACAAATAATCAGAAAAGAGTCTTGGGACGATGTTTCTACCATTTTTGTTATGATTGATTATTTCTTTGACTATTTTAATATGCCACCCAAAATCCGCCTGTAGGGGGACATGCCCGACCTAAGACGACGTCCTGCTCCTCCTCGCCACCCACCTCATGTTGACGGGCCCCCGATCAGCCAAGAAGGGGTGTGTGTGTGTGTGTGTGACCGGGCCGAAGACGCGCCCGAGCTTGTGACCGAAGACGTGGCGTGACCAGCACTGCGACCGAAGCTGAAGAGAGTCGCAGGGGCTTCAAACCAGGAACTTCGGTCACACACTCTGGCTTGGTCGGATGATCTCGGGTGCCCGTTGCGGCGATCACAAGATATCCGGGCACAGTTTCTCGCATTTCCTTCCCCCGATGCAGTCAACCCGCATAGTAAGGATGAGCGAGTTTCCAAGGTTACCCTTGCATCCTTCCCTTTCGGGCTATCCTCGGCCGCTTTCGCTTGCCGCGCCCCACTTCGCAACGTGCCGGCATGGCCTTCCAAGGCCCTTGCATCCTTGTAGCGCGTCCTTATCATACACGCTGGTCGTTGAAAGTATGTATTTTGGGACTCACAGATCCCAGTCTACTTCGAGCGCCTTCCTACTTCAAGAATCGGCATGCCTTTCCTGTGTTTTGTTATTCTCTGGGAGGACCAATCTACTTTTTCCCACCGACGGTCTCGGGTTCTTACCTACTTCTTCCGACCGACGGGTACGGGTTGATTGTACGTGGCCCACCCCTCCTCTTCCTCCACTTCTCGCTGACCGTGCCGCCTGGCATTGGCAGTGGCCGCGTAAACTTGGATGGCCCCCCTCCAATCCCTTGTGCCCTCGTTTGATGTATGTGTTCTATTAGTCAGAGCGTGAATTACCTACCCCGCTTTCGCTTCCAGGCAAAACCAAGCCATACCACGCGCCTCCTCGTCAAGCGGCGAGAGCAGTACAGGCTGCAGTTTGGCATCGTTTGGTATCTCTTGGAAGCGAGGGTGGTCAAAAGCGAGGTAGGTTTGTTTTCCCCCTGTCTATGCCGTCGTCAGAGCGAGGGGGGCTACTCCAGATTTCGTAATAAAAGGGAGGGGGTCTGGACCCTCCAAGACAAGCCATTTCAGACCCCCCCCCGTGGGAGAACCCTCCAAAACATCGTCCCCAGACCCCCCCAGGCCCTCCAAGATGGCCTGGAAGAGACCCCCCCCCGAAATGAGACCCCTCTCCGTTTATTACGAAATCTGGATTAGCTGCGAGAGCTGCCTGGCCTGTTTCATGCGAGCCTGCGCCGCCGAACCCGTCGCGCTCGTGACCCGCGCGCCGGGTCCTTCCGCTGCGCTCTCGGCCTCCTTCTTGCGCGCGCCCCGGGCGCTCGCAGCCCGTGGGGCCTCCCTCCTCCTTTCCTCCTCCCTCCCTCCTCCCCCTCCTACACTCCTCTTCTCCTTCTACCTAACTCTCCTCATCCCTCCTCCATCCTCCTCCTCCTCCTCCTCCTTCTTCTCCTCCCTCCTCCTCCTCAGAGGACGAGACCACGGCCGAGCTGCTGAAGGCCAAGTGCTTGCCCATGCCCAACTGGGTGTTCTCCGCCAAGTTCCCGCTGGAGGCCCCCCCGCTGGGCTCATCTCGACTCCTCCGATTTGATTCGGTTCGATGTCGATCGATTCCGATTCCGATTCGATTCGACCTCGGAATTAAGTTTGGGTTCCGATTTCTCTGTGGAACCCTATTGGCCTCGCGATTTCCGCCGATTTGACATATCCCGACTTGGCTGTGCCTATTTCCGCCGATCCGATTCGTTTTCCCTCTCGGCCACGCGCAGAGGGGGTAACGGCAAGGGGGAAGGCTTCTCAGAAGCACCCCTGCTTCTCACGCGGCCCTTCTCTAGATCCAAGGCCGGCACCTTCCAAGAAACAACCTCTCTCTAAGAAGCCCTCCCCCTCCCCCTACGGTAGGTTCGTGCGGCGGCGCGCTGGCGACGTTGGCGAATGTGACGCTGTAAGGTAATTGTGCCCAACTGAAGTCAACTTCGTACGCTCGGGGCCGCGATCAATGATGATGATGATGATGATGATGATGATGATGATGATCATGATCATGATGATGATGATGATGATGATGATGATGATGATGATGATGATGATGATGATGATGATGATGATGATGATGATGTAGATGATGATGATGATGATGATGAAGATGATGATGATGATGATGATGATGATGATGATGATGATGATGATGATGATGATGATGATGATGATGATGATGATGATGATGATAACTTGAGTGCATTTCCGCTTTGGGGGAGGGGCTCTGAAGACCCTTTCCGATCACCTTCTTGTGCCCGCAGGCGGCATTTCTACACCACCACCGTGCCTGGGCCATGGCCATCCATGCCTGGCCCAGGCCGGCCCTGGCCAGCCAGGGTGGTCGTGTATAGATGCCTTTTCTTTTAAACTCGTGTGCGTTCCGAAACTTGGAGGCATCTTGGGGCTCTCTTGGGATTCTCTTGGGCCCCTCTCGGGGCCTCCTGGGGCTCTGGCTCCTTCTTGGGGCTCTCTTGAGGTCATCTCAGGCCTCCTTGGGGCTCCTTTGGGCTCTTTTGGGGCGTCTTGGGGCCCTCTTGGGGCTCTTTTGCGTATGGTGCGCGCCGCCACCCCCCGGCCGAGGTCGGAGGGCGGCGCCCGCCATATGCACCTGCGCCGACCCCCCGGCCGGGCCGGACCCGGGATCGGTGCCTGCTCCGGACGCCCGAAATTCGGAGGAAGAGAACTATGCACATGCACTGATCCTGGCAAGGCCCATCCTTGACCCAGGATCGGTGCATATGCCTTCCTGGCCAAGGTAGGAGGGAGTATGCACCGATCCTGGGCTCAGGATGGGTACGTACCGAAAGAATGGGTACAATGCCCAACAGCGGATCTTGTTCATTTTGAACAGGCCTCGCTGTCCGCGCCGCCGCGGCCCACTGTCCATTCGAGACGGGAGGCCGCCTGCCAAACAGCGGCCGCTGTTGGTGGGGGACAACATTTTTGCTGTTGGGCATAGTACCCATTTTTTCGGCACCCATTTCGGGCGTCCAAACTCCTGGCGCGTGGCGGGGACCGGGGGGCCACGAGAGGGTCAAGTCGGACATGTCCCTCTACAGGAGGAGCGTGCGCAAAATAATAAAAAACAGTCATGGGACGATGTTCGACTATTTGGGGCTATGTTCGTTTTCAGTTATTCCCTACCTAGGCTCTGCCTAGAAGAGTTCTTACTCTCTTAGCTTAAAGGGGCCGGGCAGTGTAATGCGCCCCGGGCGGTTCCCCCAGGATCCGCCCCTCGGTTCCCCCAGTTGCGTCCCCTTAGCTTAGCGTTGCTTATCTCATCTTATCTTAGCTCAGCTTAGCTTCATCTTAGCTCAGGCTTATATTAGCTTAGCTTACCTTCATCTTAGCTTCGCTGAGCTTTAGCATAGCAGTGCCGTAGCGACGACGACCGCAGCATGGCATAGCACAGCATAGCATAGCATAGCGCAGCTTAGCATAGCATAGCATAGCTTAGCATAGCACAGCGCAGCATGACATAGCATAACATAGCATAGCATAGCATAGCATAGCGCAGCATAGCATTGCATATCATAGCATAGCATAGCATCGCATGGCATAGCGCAGCATAGCATGGCATAGCATAGCAACGAATGCTGCTTTCCTAGGTACTCCAACTTCTAGGTAGGGTCGCACTGGGGTAATTTATTTATTATGCTACGTTTCATTTCTCTTTCAAAATCAGGGGCCCTCGCCGGGGACCGTCAGAGAGCACGGCTCGGGATATGACGATCCCGCCCCTGGAGCAAGGGTTGGGACTCTCTGTGGACCCCGTGCGGAACTGACCAAGACATCGGATGCCTGGGACCTTTGTGGGCCCCGGAAACGGCAGGGCCGTTTTTTCACTGTTTCCAGAAAATGCCCCTTGAAAATGGAAACGGCAAAAAAACGGCGACCGGAACCGGCAACAAAAACGGCTCCAGGATTGGAACCGGAGCCGGAACCGGTCAAACAACGGCGACGGAACCGGTAACAAACGGCGTCGGAACCGGCAAAAAAAAACGGCAAAACGGAACCGGCAACAAAAACGGCTCCAGGATTGGAACCGGAGCCGGAACCGGTCAAACAACGGCGACGGAACCGGTAACAAACGGCGTCGGAACCGGCAAAAAAAAACGGCAAAACGGAACCGGCAACAAAAACGGCTCGCAGAGCCGAAATCGGAGCCGGGACGCATGCGAAAACAGGCAACTCAATTGAAACAAAACGTGGGCACCGGAATCCGGTCAAAAAAAAACGGCAAAACGAATCTCGGCAAGCCAAAACGGCTCTCAGGATTGGAATCCGGACCGGAACCGTCAAGACAACGCGACGGAACCGGTACAAACGGCGGTCGGAACTGGCAAAAAAAACGGCAAAACGGAACCGCAACAAAAACGGCTCCATATTGGAACCGGAGCGCGGAACCGGTCACTAACAACGGCGACGGAACCTGGTAACAAACGGCGTCGGACTGGCGAACAAAAAAACGTCACCGGGAGGGGGGGAGACCAAATCAAAACACCACGGTGGGGTTATATCTGTACAAAAAAAAAGAAAAAGACAATGCATGATCTGTGTTGGGGGCGCGGGGATATGTATGACAAAGGATGAATTGGTTACATAGTGCAACGTTTTAACCTTGACACAAAACGCTCCAGTATTTTGAACCTTAGCCGTAACCGTCAAACACTGTCTGACTTAACCGTTAACAACTGCGTCTTAACTTTAATAAAAACGGCAAACGGAACCGGCAACAAAACGCTCAGGATTGTAACAGAGCCGGAAGCGGTTCAAACAACGGCCGGACGGTAACCTGGTACATTCAAACGGCGTCGAACCGCAACAAAAACACGGCAAAACGGAAACCATCAACAAAAACGGCTCCGGATGCGGCACCGCTCCCGAACCGGTCAAACAACGGCGACGGAACCGGTAACAAACGGCGTCGGAACCGGCAAAAAAAACGGCAAAACGGAACCGGCAAAAAAACGGCTCCAGGATTGGAACCAGAGCCGGAACCGGTCAAACAACGGCGACGGAACCGGTAACAAACGGCGTCGGAACCGGCAAAAAAAAAAACGGCAAAACGGAACCGGCAACAAAAACGGCTCCAGGATTGGAACCGGAGCCGGAACCGGTCAAACAACGGCGACGGAACCGGTAACAAACGGCGTCGGAACCGGCAAAAAAAAACGGCAAAACGGAACCGGCACAAGAACGGCTCCAGGATTGGAACCGGAGCCGGAACCGGTCAAACAACGGCGACGGAACCGGTAACAAACGGCGTCGGAACCGGCAAAACGGAACCGGCAACAAAAACGGCCCTGTAAGCCTGGGGCCACCCAGGCGCTGGCCCCTTAAGGGGCGCCCAGGGGCGGCCAGGATTGGTGCAGGCGTGCAGTCGGCGCCCTCTGGCGGGGACGTTGGGGCGCCCTCCGGCGCCGGCGCCGGCGCCGTCCCAGCAGGAGCGGGAGGACATCGCGGGGGCCCCCAAACGGGGTGGTGACCACACCGTGCGGTGAGTCGGTGGGGGTTCGGGGTCACCGCACGGTTTTGGGACTTGGGTCGTTCTCCGAGGATGTCTCGGGCGGTTGGGACCTCCAGGGTCCCGGGTCCCAAAACCGTGTGGTGACGGACCATGCGGTGAGGTCTTTGCGGATTTCGAGGTCGCCGCCGGGTCTGTCACCACACGGTTTTGGGACACCCAAGAGGAGCCGAAGGGCGCAGGAGGTGGTCAACGAATGTTCGAGGAGTGGGGACGAATGATCGAGGCCTAGAGAAGGGGATCAAGGACCGAGGTCTGGGCGAAGACGATGGAGGAGGAGGAGGACGAACGATCGAGGAGGGGACGAGGAAGTTCGTGGACCGAGGTTCTGGAAGACTGTGAAGACTGGAGGGAGGGGGACGAGGGTGGAGGGTCGAGGATCGAGGGCGAATGATCGAGGACGAGGGAGGAGGTTCGAGGAACGAGGTGTGGACGAATGAAGGACGAGGGAGGAGGTTCGAGGATCGAGGACAAATGATCGAGGACGGAGAACGAGGATCGAGAATTGAGATTCTGGACGAAGGAGGAGGCAGAGGAGGGAACGACACCTGGGGACCAGGACGACCCCAGAGCCGGGGGAGAGTGGGGAGCGAGCGACAGTGGACCATCATGCGGGTGTGAAGAAAGGTGCATCCTTCTGCACCTTGGGGGTCCTGTAGGGGCCCCCCTGGGACCCAAAACGGGGCGCGAGCGGTGACAAGGTGTCTTCCCCCACTCCCCCTATTCATCGCCCCCGCTCCACCCAAGAGGGTCTTTAATGCTGCCCGCCCCGCCCCCCCAAAGCTCTGGGCTGGCAAATACACTTGTCCTTCCCCTCCTCGCCCTTCCCCTCGTCTTTATCATCACCATCATCATCACCACCATCATCATTATGATCATCACCATCACCATCACCACCACCACCATCACCATCACCATCACCATCACCATCACCATCACCATCACCGTCACCACCACCATCACCATCATCACCACCATCACCACCATCATCATCATCATCATCATCATCATCATCATCATCATCATCATCATCATCATCATCTTCATCGTCATCGTCATCGTCATCGTCATCATCATCGTCATCATCATCATCATAATCGTCATCATCATCATCATCATCATCATCGCCATCGTCATCGTCATCGTATTCGTCATCGTCATCGCATCGTCATTCGTCATCATCTCATCATCACATCGTCCATCGTCATCGTCATCGTCATCATCATTAATCAATCAATCACGTCATCTCATCGTCATCACGTCATCGTCTCGTCATCGTCATCGTCATCGTCATCGTCATCGTCATCGTCATCGTCATCGTCATCGTCATCATCTCGTCGTCATCATCATCATCGTGCTTTCCCCCCCCCCCTCCCCCCCACATCATCATCATCAAGCATCATCATCATCATCATCATCATCATCATCAGCATCATCATTCATCGGGGATCCTCCCCCTCCAAAAAATCTCTCCCCTGGGCAGTCCGCGATGAGCGGGACGGCCCCCCGCCATCCCCCGTGTTCACCGCGCCATCCCCCGCAAGAGCAGCGCCCCAGGGGAGGGCAGAGGGCGCACGCACCGGCCCCTTCCCCCCCCCTCGAGCCCCCCCATAGGGTCGCCGTGGCCTCGGCAGGACCCCTCCCCCGGCCCCCCCCCCCCCCGGGGAGGGGCCCCGCGGCCGGCGGCACCCCCGGGGGCGCCCCCGCCCGGAGCCCCTCGTCGATGCTCACATATCCGCCTCACCGGCTCACTCCACCCCCCCCTCTCTCCCACCCCTCACTTCGGTCCTCGTCCTCCTCCTCCGCCTCCTCCTCCTCCTCCTCCTCATCCTCCTCCTCCTCCTCTCCCTCCTCTTCGTCGTCATCCTCCTCCTCTCCTCTCGCGAGGGGCTGTGGGCCTTCGAGCGCCCGCCCGCCCCCCGCCGCCGGGAGTGCGCCGTGCGCCGCCTCCCGGGGTGGGGGGGCTCGGCATCGCTCGGACGTGTGTCGGGTATGGCCAGGACACCAGGTAATCAGGAGGGGAAAAACACACAGACACAATTAATCGGCGATTCCCAGAAAATATGGGAAATATGGGAAGTGGGGGGGAAGACAAAAACCTAGGAAATCTAGGAAAATATGGGGGATATCTTTATTTGTGTGTATTTATTTGTGCGTCCCAGTTCCCCTTCAGGTGAGGGGACCTGGTCAGTGGGAGGGCCCCGGAGCCTTTCAATGGGTCAGAATCAGCTGGTGTTTTTCGGGTGACGGCAGTTCCGGTTAGTGGAAATGGGACGGGGGGCCGCCCCCGGTACGGATCACTAAACCAGGTTCCATTAAACCCAGTTCTGCCAACGCCCGAGTGTGCACGGCTTCTGCGCGCGGGCCATCGAGGAGCATGTTGGACACAACGCAGTGTGGGGGCACACGCCATCATCATTATGATCATCATCATCACCATCACCATCACCACCACCATCACCATCACCAGCACCAGCACCATCACCATCACCATCACCATCACCATCATTATTATTATCATTACTATTATTATTATTATCATCATCATCATCACCATCACCATCACCATCACCATCATCATCATCATCATCATCATCATCATCATCACCATCACCATCACCATCACCATCACCATCACCATCACCATCATCATCATCATCATCATTGCTCATTTCCATCAATGCATCGTCAATCATCATCATCATTATAATCATCATCATCATCATCATATCTCAATCATCATCATCAGGTGTACATCATCATCATCATCAGTCATCATTTGTCATCATCATCATACATCATCGTTTATCCTCAACCCACACCCGGGCGACGAGCGGGACCGTCTCCGGTCCCGCACTCCCCCGCGCTCACAGCCTCACCAGCCGCCCCAGCAAGCCAGCGCCAACCATGCAGGGTAGCGCAGGCACATGCAGCACCGCCCCTTCCCCCTCCCCTGAGGCTCCCCCATGTCAAGCCGCGCGGTGCGCTTTGCCATTCGGCAGTCTTGGCAGTGACTCCTCCCTCCTCCCTCCTCCTCCTCCTGCCTCCTCCTCCTCCTCGTCCTCCTCCTCCTTCCTCCTCCCCTCGCTCCTCCTCCATCACTCTCCTCCTCCTCCTCCTCCTTCCCTACCTCCTCACCCCCCCTACTCTCGTGCCTCCTCGCTCGCTCCTCCACCTCCTCCTCCTCTCGATCCTCCTCCTCCTCCTCCTCCCTCCTCCTCCTCCTCCTCCTCCTCCTCCTCCTCCTCCCCCTCGGCCTCTCGCGAGGGGCCCAGGCCCTCGAGCGCCCGCCCGCCCCCCGCCGCCGGGAGTGCGCAGCATGCGCGCCTGCCGGGGTGGGGGGCTCGGCATCAGGACCCCAGGTAAGGGGACCCGGTTAGTGGTAGGGCCCCGGAGCCTTTGAATGGGCCAGAGGCACTAAACCAGGTTTGCCATAGCTGGTGTTTTTTTGAGTGACGGCAGTTCCGGTCTCAGGGTTGGCTTTCTTGTGGGAGGTTTCTTGAGGTCGGGCCCCCTACCTGCAGTCCTGCGAAGAATGGACGCACGACAACGGAGAAGGGCCCAGGGAATGGACGCCCGAGGGGGCGGCCAGGGGGGGGTCGGGCGGGGGGCCAGGGCTGGCCCGTGACTCGTTCCAGAGCGGTCCGCGAGGCCTCGGGAGGAGCCCGGGCGGCTCGAGGGCGCCCCCTATGGAGCTGCGGCCGCCCCGGGCCTCTCGGCCCAGGGGCCGGAGCCCTCCGAGAGGCAGCGGCGCGCGGGGTGGAGAAGCGCCGCCGGGCCAGGGGCCGAGCAAGAGAGCCCAGCCTCTCGCCCTCGCTCGGGATGGTTTTCCCGCCGTGCCCTCGCTCGCCCCCCGCCGATCCGCCCGCCGTCACCGGTCCCGACCGCCAATTCTCATCCCATCCCCGCCCTTGTCAGAGACCACGCGAGCGGGGCGAAGCGGGAGAACAACGAGGAGCAGCACGGTAGCGCAGGAGCTTGGCATCGCTCGGACGTGTGCATTTTTTTCTCGGCGAGGACCTTCGAGGAGCATCCTCGACCATCTGGCGAAAAAAACACGCGCGAAACCGAAAAAAACACAGGGAATGGACGTCCGAGCGATGGCCAGGGAGGACAGCAGGATGACGAAGAGGGGGGGGCGGCCAGGCAGGGCCAGGACCGGGGATGACTCGCTCCAGAGCGTGGCAGAGCGATCTCTCGCAGCATGCCGCAGCGCCCTGGGAACGGCCGCCGCGCCCGCTGCATCCCCCAGAACCGCCAGACCTCGAAAATCCCGACGCATCCTGGCCCGAGTTTCTCCCCGTCCTGGCCCTGGGCTTAAGTCGGGCCTGTCCCCCTACACGGGGATTGTCGACGAGAAACAAAAGATACCCCAACAGAAAGTCAAAGAATAGTCCAAAAATAGTAAGGGGACGATTTGTTTGAGCATTTTCTGTGGCCTTTTTTGGGGTATCTTTGGGGTCTTTTTGATTTTTCGCCGAAATCCCCCGAAAGGCCAGAAAATATTCAAAAAATAGTCCCCTGACTATTTTTGGACTATTTTCTGACTTTCTGGGAGTATTTTTGATTTCTCGTCGACAATCCCCCCTGTAGGGGCACAGGCCCGACAGAACCCCGGGCGCGCGCGGGCCGGGCTCGCATCGGCGGCCGGCGGCGGCGCGGCCCGCGGGCCCCGCGCGGGGCCGGCGGCGGGCCGGCGGGCCGCAGCGGGCGCAGGGCGCGGCAGCGCAGCGGCGGCAGTCGGAGAGCGGGAGGGAAAGAGACACACAGGCACAAGGAATCGTCGATTCCCCTGAAAATCTGGACGCCCGAAATGGGTACTGAAAGAATGGGTACTATGCCCAACAGCAGTTCCTGTTCATTTTGAACAGGAGCTGCTGTCCACGCCGCCGCGGCCTGTGTCCATTCGAGACACGAGGCCGCCTGCCCAACAGCGGCCGCTGTTGGTTTGGGACAGCATTTGCTGTTGGGCATCGTACCCATTTTTTCGGTACCCATGTCGAGCGTCCAAAGAAAATATGGGAAAATATGGGACGCCATGAAAAAATCATGACGTCGGGGGTCTGGGGGGGTGGCCATCAAGGGAGGAAGAACCGCCCGGACCCGACGACTGGCGCTTTAAAGGCGTCTACGAAACAGCCCTGCCCTGTCTGATGCCGTCTTTTGGGTGCGTCTGCTAGAGGACTTCGCGTGCCAGGGTGATTCTCAGGAGGGAAAGAAGCACACAGGCACAAGGAATCGTCGATTCCCCAGAAAATATGGGAATATCTGGAAAGTGGGGGGGAAGACAAAATCCCAGAAACTATCTGGAAAGTGGGGCGGCAGTCGGAGATCAGGAGGGGAAGAAGCACACAGGCACAAGGAATCGTCGATCCCCCAGAAAAGATGGGAAAATATGTGGGAAGTGGGGGGGGAAGACAGAAACCCAGAACAAATATGGGGAAATATGGGGCATCCTGTGATTTGCGTGTATTTATTTGCGTGTCCCAGGGCCCCTTTAGGAGAGCAGCGGCGGCGGCGGTCGTGGGCAGGGCGGCGGCGGCGGCGGGGGGCGCGCGCGCGCGCGCCTCGCAGCGAGCTGCGGAGCCCGGGCCCGGCCGCGTAGGGCCCGCGGCCGGACGGGTCTCGCCGCCTCCTTGGAGGCCAACGGCTTCTCCGTGCTCCTGCAGAGAGTGCACCTCTCGGGGGTGGACAGAGTAAAACAGGGCTCTGAAACTCCCGTCGTGATCTTCTGACGACTCGAGAGGGTCTGGGTTCTCCCCCACCATCCACCCTCCATCTCCAGCTCGTCCACATCTCCAGCTCGTCCACATCTCCCCCCCCGCCATCTCCAGCTCGTCCACATCTCCCCCCCCCCCGCCGTCTCACCCTAAAACAGGGCTAGGATCGGGATAAATCGCTCCAGAGCGTTCCGGAGCGCTCTCAGAGCGTTCCGGAACGCTCTGAGAGCGGCCGCGGCGCCCAATACATCCTCCAAACCCGCCGGTTCTCAGAGACTTCGAGTTATCCCGATCCGATGTTGTCCCGATCCTCGTGTTTTTTAGCTTATCCGGGCTCCTGCAGAGAGTGCACCTCTCGGGGGTGGACAGAACCCCCAGCAGTGACACGTCGATTCGTGAATTGTCCGTTTTTTCGGTGCTCGAGAGGGCGCCGTGGCCGCTAGTTTCCAGGCTTGCGCCCGCCAGGTTTGGGCCTCGGGTCGTTTTCACTAAACCACGTTTTACCAAAGGGGGGTCTGTCCATCCCCGAAAGTCAACAGGCGTCCTGGGGTCTCAGGGTTGGGTTTCCCATGGGAGGTTGCTTGTGGACCGGCTCCTGCTGTACATCTGCTGAAGCTGCTGGTCTGTGGTATGAAGGAACGATGCAGCGGGAGCCTCATTTTGTGAAGGAATCGCCTAACATCCTCTGGACTGTTGGGCCTCGGGTCGTTTTCACTGAACCACGTTTTACCAAAGGGGGGTCTGTCCATCCCCGAACCTCGGGTTTTTGGCCGCCCAGCCTGGCCGTGGCCATTCTGGGCCCCTGGCGTGGCGTCGGCGCGCTCCACCGCACTGGGGTTATGTCGGGCCTGTCCCCCTACAGGGGATTTTCGACGAAAAATAAAAGATACCCCAAAAATAGTTCAAAAATACTCCAAAAATAGTCCGGGGATTATTTTTTGGGGGATTTTGGGGGTATTTGTTTTTGATTTCTCGTCGAGAATCCTCCTGTAGGGGGACAGGTCCGACTTAACCCTGGGGCCCATGTCGACCCTGGCCAGGCACGGTGGTGGTAGTGCGCAGTTGGGTGCCTGCTGCGGAGCTTCTGAGCGTCTCCTCCCCTCATCTTGATGGTCGGCACCCATCATGGCTGTCTTCACGCAAGGTGGACTTCTTGACTTTTGTTGCGGCGTCTGAGAGGCTCTCTCCCTCTCTCCCTTTCTCCCTCTCTCTCTAGTGTTAGATTCCCCTTTCTTTCTGTCTGTGTATACATCTGTATCTATATATATATATATATGTATGAGCCAGCGCTGACCCCAAACAGTGTGCTTCTAGCAACCTAGGTGGTGCGATACATACATATAGATACACCAACAAACATACATGTGTAATACATATATAGATATATATATATGTGTGTTTGTATGCATGCATATGTATATGTATATGTATATTTATATGTATATGTATATGTAAATGTATATGTATATGTATGTGTATGTGTATGTGTATGTGTATGTGTATGTGGTGATGTATATGTATATGTATACATATATGTATATGTATATGTATATGTATATGTATATGTATATGTATATGTATATGTATATGTATATGTATATGTATATGTATATGTATATGTATATGTATGTGTGCATGTGCGTGCCACAATCTAGGAGGAGCAATACAGCGGGTGGTATCCAGTCCCCGTAGGCCCTCCTCTCCACTACAGGAAGCCTCCCTTGGAAGACGCCGCACCTCCATGGGCCTGCCACTCGGGCGAGAGCCCATGTTTTGAGAAAAGGAAGAGCCGCGCACCGTGCACTTTTGGCTGGCGCGCGGGCAAGGATGCAAACGCTGTGCTCGTGCAGTTCAGCGGGATGAGCAGCAAGGCCCCTCAACGGCACCGTAACGGGCACTTACTAACGGGTACTTACTAACGGTTTTTGAGAACAGGAAGAGCCGTGCACCGTGCATTTTTACGAGCGCGCGGGCAAGGGTGCAAAAGCTGTGCTCGAACAGTTCAGCGGGATTCGACCGGACAGGGTGGACAGACCTCCTACCCTGACACGTCGATTAAGGAATTGGCCGTTTTCGGTTCGCGAGAGGGCGTCGCGGCCGTCATTGTTGCGGGTCCAGGTCTGTCGGTTTCGGTCCCAGGCCGATGTCACTCAGGGGAGGTTTACTAAAGGGAGCCGTGCACCGTGCATTTTGCGAGCGCGCGGGCAGGGATGCAAAAGCTGTACTCGTACCCATCGGTCGTTGAAAGTAGGTAGTTTTGGATTCACAGATTCCAATCTACTTTCAGCGCCTTCCTACTTCAAGAGTCGAGTGGTGTTCCCTCCTCCCTCCTCTTCAGGAGGCGGGCGGAAACCCAATCTATTTCCAACGCTTGCATTTTGCTAGCGCGCGGGCAAGGATGCAAAAGCTGTGCTCGTACAGTTCAGCCGTTTCGAAAAACGACCGTCCGAGGGCGTGAGGGCCTTCACGGAGGGCGTGAGGGCCTTCACGGAAAACGCTGCCGCTCCGCACGTCACCGCTGGACGTTGCCCCCACGTGCCAGATCCAAGGATCCGTAGTCCATGTTAGCGTCGGCCCGACGAACACCCGTCAGCCGTGCAAGAGCAGCAAGACCCCCGTTTCGAAAAACGGCCGCCCCCCCCCCGTCGTGCAGCCCGCGCACAGGTCTGCAGACTTGTGGTCATGGGCGTAGATCAGGAGGGAACGCAAAACACACGGACACGATGAATCGCCGTTGCCAGGGAAAAAGATGCGATCATATGGGCAGTGGGGGGGGGAAAGACGAAAACCCCAGAAATATGGAGCAATCTGGGGAATCCCGTTACGTGTGTGTATTTATGTGTGTGCCCCAGGGCCCTCGCCTTGACACGGCGCCGCCTTCCACCCGCGCAGGGGATACGATACAGTGGAGCCCCAGGCCAAGAAACGCCCTGCTTGCCTCCAGGGTGCCCAGGGCGCCCCGGGGTCCCGATGGTCTTCCGATGGAAAGCGTCTCCTTCCCACGCCAAAAGTCAATGGGCGTCCTGGGGTCTCAGGGTTGGGTTCCTTGTGGGAGGTTGCTTGTGGGCTGGCTCTTGCTGCACATCTGCTGAAGCTGCTGGTCTGTGGTATGAAGGAAGTATGCAGCGGGAGCCTCATTTTGTGAAGGAATCGCCTGACATCCTCTGGACTGTTGCTCTAGGCTGTGGTATGAAGGAAGTATGTAGCGAGAGCCCCATCTTGACAAGGACTCGTCTCCCAGCCTCTGGACAGTTGTTCTGGTCTGTGGCATGGAGGAGGTATGCAGCGAGAGCCCCGTGTTGATAAGGAATTGCCTACCATCCCGGTGCAACGAATGCGCGCAGCGCTCGTGCGAGAGCCCCGCTTTGAAGAGGAGCCGCCCTCCGTCCTCCTGTCGGTCGCGCACTTTGAGGCGAATTTGCGCGGCGCTTGGGCGAGACCCCGGTCTGAGGACGACCTGTGCTCCATCTTGACACCTGTTTCCAAGCTTTTGAGACGAATGCGCCCGGCGCCAAGAGAGGAACTCTATGCTGGAAGCCGTCCTCTTTCCACCCGTGCAAATGTTGAGAAGTTCATGGTTTGGGATCCTGACTGGTGGGGAAGACTGGCAAAATGCCCAGCCCGCCCTACCGACACATCTGGTGGTGCGACAGGGAGGAGGTATCCAGCTGCCTGCCGCAAATCCAGCCACGGTGCCAGCCCAGCATTCTGGGTGGCGATTGCTCGAGGGGCACGGGCGGCCGTCACGTGTGACACCGCTCGGGATAGGCGTGATGAGGATGATGAGAATGTTGACGATGACGATGACGAGGAGGAGGAGGAGGAGGAGGACGAGGACGAGGACGAGGACGAGGAGGAGGAATTACAAGATACATGAGAACCAGAAGTGGCACTGTTCGTCTTCACTTTGTGAGGCACGCTCATGGAGCTCGGTCGGGCCGCCGTCGGGCTGCCTTGAGCTCACGTGGGGCAGTCTTGGGGGCCCACTGGCGCCATTTTGAGTCCTGGCGATCTGGGGGGCGTCTTCGGGCCGCTGTGCGACCGTTGGGGGGCCTCTGCGGCCGTCTGGCCATCTCGGAGGCTGCTTGGGCCACGCCAGTCCGCGGGTGGAGGGGGGTAGGACCTTTCAGACCTTGGCATCCTTCTGCGCCTCAGGGGGGGCACGGTTGCGGATCGATAAGGAAAGGAGAAGCAGGAGGAGGAAAGGAGAAGCAGGAGGAGAAAAGGAGAAGAGGAAGAGGAAAGGGGGTACAGTCAACGCGCCTAGTAGGGACGCGCGCCTTCATCCAGGGTGCCCTTGCGTCCTTGCCTCTGCGGCCCGCCCTTTGCCGTTATCACTGGTCGCCCGCCGCCCACAAAATCGTAACTTCGGTCTCCAAGGGTACCCGTGGGTCCTTGCCTGCCTCAGCCTCTGCGGCCCGTCCCTAACAGTTTTCGCAGGCCAGAAGAATACTTCAACTTCGGCCTCCAAGGGTGTTGCGTCCTTACCACGCGTCCTTACTATACGTTTTGACTGTAGGACCTTGCAGACCTTGGCATCCTTCTGCGCCTCAGCGTGCCAGGGGGGCACGGTGGCGGATCGAGGAGGAACGGAGAGGCGGGAGGAGGAACGAGGAATGAGGCAGCCGCTTCGGTTCAGGCCAACCCGAGCCCGAGCAGGAACAAATAATTGAGAGGGGGGGGCATGACGGAGGAGGAGGAGGAGTAGGAAGAGGAGGAGGGGGAGGGAGGGGGGCGAGGAGGAGGAGACGAGAATGAGGACAAGGAGCAGGAAGAGGAGGAGGAGGAGGAGGAGGAGGACGAGGGGCGAGGGACGAGGGACGAGGGCCTCGCCCCCTGCTCCTGCCTGGTGGGCAGCCTCTGTCCTTCTCCTTTCTTTCGGAGGTTGGTAGACCTCCTACCCCTGACACATCGATTAACAAATTGACAGTCTTCGATTCGCGAGAGGGCGTCGCGGCCGTCATTTCTGCGGGTCCAGGTCCGTCGGTTTCGGTCCTAGGCCGTTTTCACTAAAGGGCGGTTTATCAAAGGGAGGCTTGTCCACCGCCGATTCTTGGCCGCCAGGAAAGGGAGGGAGGCGAATGATGTTGCAGAAGCTGTGCGATGCGGCAACTTTCGTCGTCCCCGAAGGGTGCGCCCTGACGAAGAGGCTCGCTGGGTCGGGACAAAAGGGCTCGACGCCGGCCCACTCGTTGCCGCCTTCCTCGAAGCGGTGTGCGTCTCGAGTGGTGCGGGGGTGAACGGAACACACCACTCCCTCCTCCTCCTCCTCCTCCTCCTCCTCCTCCTCCTCCTCCACCTCCTCCTCCACCTCCTCCCCCCCCCCAAAAAAAAGGCCGTTACCCCCGACCCTCCTCCTGCCTCCTTCTGATTCCCTCGCCCACTCCGCCTCAAGTGTGTCTCCGCCTCTGGAGACAAACATGTCTTGATATTGCGGACCCCGCTGCGCCGACCCTAGTATTGCGGGCCAGCTACGTGGACCCAGGAGGGCCAGAATTGCCATACCTGTGAAATGAACGGCCGCCTTCTTGCCCCTAGCGCCTTGAGTCGAGCTCCGTGACAGTGCACCCTTCGCAATACGAAGTGGTGCTGGCGCTAGGATACGGCACCATGCCCCTGCGAAGGGGTGGAGGGAGGTGGAGTAGGAGGAGTGGGAGAAGGAGGAGGAGGAGGAGGAGGAGGAGGAGAGAGGAGGAGGAGGAGAGAGGAGGAGGAGGAGGAGGAGAGAGGAGGGAGGAGAGAAGAGGAGGAGGAGGAGGAGGAGGAGGAGGAGGAGGAGGAGGAGGAGGAGGAGAGAGGAGAGAGGAGGAGGAGGGAGGAGGAGGAGAGGGAGGAGGAGGAGGAGGAGGAAGAGGTGGAGGAGGGAAGGAGGGAGGGAGGAGGAGGAGATGAGGTAGAAGTCGCCCCCCCTCCCCCTCCTGGGCACCAGGCTGGCGGCCCGCCCGGCCATGGGCCCCCGCGGCACCCAGCGCGACCCGCTGGCGCGCGCCCGAGATCCTGGCCCCGGCCCTGAGGCCGCCCCGCGGCCACGCCTCGACTCACCGAGCGCGGTCCACAGCCTGCAGAGTGCCTACTCTGATGGGCCCGTTGTCCACCACCAGCACCCCAAAGTTGGAGGGAGGAAGGGGGTGGAGGAGGAGGAGGAAGAGGAGGAGGAGGAGGAGGAGGAGGAGGAGGAGGAGGAAGAGGAGGAGGAAGAGGAGGAGGAGGAGAAGGAGGAAGAAAAGGAGGAGGAAGAGGAAGAGGAGGAGGAGGAGGAGGAGGAGAAGGAGGGCCCTCTCCCCCTCCAACGTACGGTGGTGGTGGTGGAAGGCAGGCCCATCACACTCGCAAACGTCCTGTCCGAACAAAGACACATGTTTGCCTCAATATAGTAGATCGTCGTACAGTCGGGGCGTTGACCTAAGGAACCCTAAATAAGGAACGAGGCCCATTTTTCCCATAAGTCAAACTTCGATTTCCCATCGAAACCCTAAGCTAAACCAAAGGCGAACTGCAAAACAACTAAGGAACACCGAGCCCCTCCCCAACGAAAAGAGTTCCTTCCTCAGCGCCCCGACCGTAAGTCCCCAGCTGCGGACCCAAGCCAGTTGCGAGTACAGTGGAGACCCATGCCAGGAAGCACCCGGCTTTCCTCCAGGGTGCCCGGGGTTTCTTGGGCTTCGATGGCTGTGCGATGGAAAGCGTGACGTTCCCCCCTCCAAGCATAGATGGACGTCCTAGGGTATCAGGGTTGAGTTTCTCGTGGAAGGTTTCTTGTGGACTGGCCTCCACCGCAGTTGCTTGGCGAGTCGTGGAGCGCGCTCGTCTATCGACAGCGACACGACGGCCGCGTCGGCCGGCCGCACCGGCGGCGATGACGTCGACGGCGGCGCCGACGGCGGCATCGACGACGCCGGCCCAGGCGACGAGCTACGGGATCGGGAGCTTTGAGACGGGGGTCAATGCAGGCGGGGGTCAGCCAGAGCGCCAGATCTTGCTGTATGCTGCAGGGCCAAGGTCGCATTGACCCAGGTTCGGGTGCAGGATCCTGCAGGATCTTGCAGGATCTTTCGCATTGACCAGGGTTGCGGTGCATGATCTTACAGGATCTTGCAGGATTCTGCAAGGCCTATCTGACCCGGGTCTGGATTGACCCGGCTCAGAAGATCCCCGACGGGAGGGGAGGCCTCGGGAGATCAGGCCGGACGTGGCTACGTTTAAGTCGGGCAGGTTCCCTTACAGGAGGAATATACAAAAATAGTCAACAAGTAGTTTGGGGACGATTTTCTACCATGTTTGACTATTCCATGTTTAACTATTTTCGAAAATGTTTCAATTATTTGTTTCGTTCGTCCAAAATCCGCCTGCGGGAGGACGTGCCCGACATAAGGCTACGCAGGACGAGGCTGCGGCCGTTCCAGAGCGTCTTGGAGCTCTTTCAGAGAGCTCCGGAACGCTCTGAGAATGCCGCGGCGCACGAGACTCGGAGCGGCCAAGAGGGGGGTGTCCAAGAGGGGGGGTGCAAATCATGACCGGCGGCATGTGCGCGGCCCAGCGGGGGGGCAAGGGACGTAATGAAACAAGAAGAGGCGCCATGAAATCTGGGGAAATATGATGGACCCATCCCCCCCCTAGCCATTACCCCCTTCTTTTCCGCCCCCGATACATCCTCCGGAGCCGCCGGGTCTCAGAGGCTCTCCTCGTCCTGGCTCCGTCTCATCAGGGGCCCCAGGATGCTTCTGGAGGCCTGCCCTGCCCGGAGGCCCTGGGGGGCCCTTGGGAGGCCTCTCGAGGCACGGAGGGGCCCAGAGGCATCCAGAGCCTCGAGCCTCGAGCCTCGCGGCGGCAGTGAGGGGGAGGGGCAGCGAAGGGGGGCAAGAAGGGGAGGAGCCTCGAACCTCCCAGAGGGGGGGGGGCGGCAGTGAAGGGGAGGGGGGCGGAGGGCGAGGGGAGGCCGGACCAGATCGGATCGGCACGAGGGATCATCGTCAGCCTGTGACGAAGCACAGGTATGAATCGGGAGGGAAAAAGACACACAGACACAATGAATCGTCCACTCCCGGGAAAAGATGGGGAAATATGGGAAGTGGGGGGGGGGAAGATAACAAGCCAAGGAAAAGATGGGAATTATTCGTGTGTATTTCTTTGTTTGTGTCCCAGGGCCCCTTCAAAGAGGGCCTGCGGGCGAGTGCCCCGTGACCCCGGCGTGGCACTGGGCCTCGCGCGAGTGGCGGCCTGCGCCGCGATGGAAAAAGCTTCGGGGGGCACGCCAGGGATCAGGAGGGGAAGAAAACACACAGACACAATGAATCGTCGATTCCCAAGAAAATGTAGGAAAATGTGGGCAGTGGGGGGAAGACAGAAGCCCAGAAAATATGGGAAAGTATGGGTTATATTTTTATTTGCGTGTATTTATTTGTGTGCCCCAGGGCCCCTTCAAGGGAGGAAGGCGTGACAGGCGACAGGCTCGAGGGCCCAGCGGGGAGGAAGAGGCACGGGAAGGGAGAGAGGAAAGCACAGCGTTGGTGACAGAGAGGTTTGAGACAGCACTTTGAGCCTCAGGCTATCTGCAAAGCGTATCCCCCCGTAAGACTTGACAGCAGAGTATCTCGGGCCCAGACAGAGTGGGTCGGGGAAAAGTTGTGGCGAGACCGAACTTCATAATCGCCGGGGCAAGTACGAATCGAAGGTGCTATCCTCTTATTTTGAGTAGAGTATGATACATCATACATCATACGAGTACTCCTATTCCAGTGACAGAACTTTTACGCTTGCGTCTAAGACTACGATCGTGTTTACTACCATTATTGTTTTACGATGATTTCCACGACAGGTACTACTACCATAACGATTACTACTACTACGACTACTACTACTACTACTACTACTTTTACTACTACTACTACTACTACTACTACTATTACTACTACTACTAATACTGTTACATGTGCGACCACCTTTTTCTTTACTACTATTACTACTACTACTACTACTACTACTACTACTACTACTACTACTACGATTGCCACTACTATTAATGACTAGTACTTGTTTCGCTAATATGGCTATTACGAGTACTACTCGTATTACTAGTACTACTACTATTACTACTACTACTACTACTACTACTACTAGTAGTACTACTACGACTACGACTGCGACTACTACTACGACTAATACTACTAATACTACTACTACTTCTACGACTGCTACTGCTACTACTACTACTACTACTACTATTACTACTACTACTACTACTACTACTACTACTACGACTACTATGACTACTACTACTACTACTACTACTATTACTACTACTACTACTACTACGACTACTACTGCTCTGCTAATACTACTACTACGACCAGTACTGGTACTACTATCACTACTACGTCTACTACTACTACTACGACTACTACTACTACTACTACTACAACTACTGCTACTACTACTACTGCTACTGCTGCTACTACTACTACTACTGCTACTACTGCTAGTCCGATTACTGGTACCAGTATTCCTACTCGTATTACTACGACGACTACTACTACTTCTACTACGGTGACTCCGCTTGCTACTACTACTGCTATTATATCTACTACTACTACTACTACTACTGCTACTACCACTACTACTACCACTACTACTACTACTACTACTACTACTACTACGACTACTACCACTAGTACTACTACTACTACTACTACCACTACTGGTGCTGCTGCTGCTACTACTACGACTTCTACTGGTACTACTACTACTACTACTACTACTACCACGGCCTACTACTACTACTGCTAGTGCTACTACTACTACTACTACTACTACTACGACTACTACTACGACTACTACTACTACTACTACTACTACTACTACTACTACTACTACTACTACTCCTACTACTCCTACTACTCCTACTACCTCCACTACTACTTCTACGACTGCTACTGCTACTACTACTACTACTACTACTACGACTACTACTACTACTATCTGTAGTACGATTACGACTGGTAGGACTGGTACGACGACGACGGCATCTACGATTACGACGATTGCGAACGCTACTACTACGACTTTCGCTACTACTACTACTACTACTACTACTACTATTACTACTACTACTACTACTACTACTACTACTACTACTACTACTATTGCTACAACTACTACTACTACGACGACTACTACTACTACTACTACTACTACCGCGACTACTACTACGTCTAGTACTACTACGACTACCACTTCTACCACTACTACGACCCTTGCTATTACTACGACTACTTCTATGACCACTACGAACGCCACTATTACGACTATTACTTTTACCACTACTACGACTAATGCTTCTACTCTTACGACTACGACGGCGACGATTGTGTTTTTTACGACACTACGACTACCACGATTACTTCTACTAATACGACTACGACGACGTCGGCGACTGCTACTACGATTACTACAACAACAAGAACAAACACTACTACTACTACTACTATTACTACTACTACTACTACTACTACTACTACTACTACTACTTCTACTACTTCTACTTCTACTACTTCTATTTTTACTACTACTACTACTACTACTACTACTACTACTACTACTGCTACTGCTACTGCTACTACTACTACTACTACTACTACTACTACTACTACTACTACTACTACTAGGGTCACACCTGACTGATGGCCGGTGAGGTCTGGGTTTGGGGTTGGGTTTGGGTTTGGGTTATGGTTTGGGTGTCTTTGTTTTCTATTGGAAACCAATTGTTTTAAATAGTTTTCTTTTGAAAACCAATGGTTTGGCTTCGTTTTCGATTGAACACCTATGGTTTTAATTAGTTTTGTATTGGGAACCAATGGTTTTAATGAGTTTTCTATTGGGAACCAATGGTTTTATTAGTTTTCTGTTGAGAACCAATGGTTTTTATTAGTTTTCTATTGTGGATTCCTTAGGATTCTTACGAGATTCCTTAGAACTCCTCCGAGACTCCTTCAGATTCCTCCGAGACTCCTTCGGATTC